ATGTTTTCCGCTAATTTTCATCCTCTTTAGAAATTTAAGATATTGCCATTCGTACAACTTGTTCAATAATGAAACCCAAAAACTTTACAAAAACCATTGTTTTATTTGTTTTTTTTTAAAATCATGGGTCGATTTTGAAAATGACATCATCCGGAAATAATTGACGGAAAAAAAATGTTTTACAGTTCATTATTTGCCCACTTTAATAAAATAGACATTTTAACACATGCTTGATTTGTGAAATTCTAAAACAAACAATTACTCAAAATTGAAATTAAATATCTCTTCTGAAAACATAAATTAGTTTGAAAACCTTTTTGTTCTTTTTTTTGAAAAAAGACGGGAAAAATATATTTGCGTATTTTTTTTTTAATTAAATTTTTTTTTAATTTTAATTCAAACTGAAAATATAAAAACGCCAAAAATACACAATCTTTTTTTTTTAGAAATTTTATAATTATTTAATAAGGTATGATTTTCGTTAAAACAAATCAAAACTCGCCTTATTATATATATTATTTTGTCAATGCATTACTTATTGGAAAATGGACAATATCATTTTAGAGTTAACATATTTAACATGTTGGAAATATAGATCTTTTCAATTGAATATATATACATGAATATAATTAGAAATCGAAAAGTATTTTTTTATTTTAAGATTTTTTCATCTATTTTTATCTAAAAAAAATGTATAAATAAAACATAGAAAAAGGTGTTAATATATTAATATATATATATATAAATATATATATATATATATATATATATATATATATCGTAAACAACTTTGAAAAGCCATTTAAATTTTTGAAGATGAAAACAAAACATTTAAGTACTATCACAAGAATATTAATCTAACATGTTTTAAGCATAATTAAATTCAAAATATATATATATATATATATATATGTTGAAGCTTAAATAAGCATGGAATAATACAACACAAAATGTACGTTAACAAAATGTATTGAAACAAAGAATAGGTACACAATATTTACAGTTAGTTTGGTATATTCTTGGGAAGACTGTTCCTGCATAATGGGTTGACTAAATCGCAGTCGGGCAGAGTCTCTGGATTCAATTTCTTAATCTCTACTATCTTCCCCGTCTTCCGGTACCAACCCATATTTATATGGTCGGTAGTCCGCTTATGTAAATTAGGTGTATCATACACAACAATATATAGCTCTATCTCTGATATTGAGCAATTTATCTCAGAAATATAGCATATACGTTATATTATGTATTCGAACCATTAATAGCTTGATAGCGAAATTTAGGATTTCTTGGTTCCCTTTAATTTTTTTTTTTGAAACTTTTTTCTGGTTTCGAATTTGCACAATATAAATCAACAAACCATTGTTAAATATAATTATTCTGTGTCAATTAGAAAGTTAAAAACTTTAATGATACATTTTAGGCGATATTTCGATACATGACTGACGAGGCAATTTTCAAAATGCAGTTTCAAATTTCTTTGGGTGATAGACCAATTCAGAAATAGCTGGAGGAGAAGAGGGTTCATTACCTTTCCCCAGTGTATTAACACAAAGTGAATGTAAAGGTTCGAATGAATTTGAACTCGGCAGAATTGATTTTTATAAAATTGAATTGCTATCCATTTCTCCACCGTATTCAATAGATTTTGGGTGAAAATAGCCCATCTAGATATTTTGGAGAAAATGAAGAATGATGATACATAATAAGTATACCTTGAGTAGACATTTAACAGAAAATCATAATAAGATTACAAGATTTATTAACATAATAAATTATTTGGCCACATGAGCAACATTTCGACGAATAACATCAAAAACCCTATTATTCAATAAATCTGTCAAATGTTTATCGTAGCAGGTTTGACTGCCTCTGCTGCAGTTTTGATGCTCACCCATAAGATATATTTCGATCTAAATCGGCGTCCATCGGAATAAACATCTTGCTTAATGATGGACCAAAGATTTTTTCGATAGAGTTGTGATTCGGAGAAGCAGGCGGCCACACCATCAACCTTGTATGCTGTAAGGTATGCTTGTATGACCCTGGTAGAATTGAGAAGAGCGTTGTCATACATGGATACTAGAGTCTTTAGAAATGACAGCGGTATGTCATTTAGTCATGGATCAAAACCTCTTGGGGGAGATTGCATTAGGCGGCTGCGATCAGTTAAAAGATTTCATTAACCATGACTGGGCCAACAAGTCTGTCAAATGATACCAGCCCACATAATCCTATTGTTCCTGATGTTGACGTCGTAGACGTTGGTGAGGCTCAATACCGAAACAGACCAAACCATTTGCCCAACCGTCAGATCCAAGAGTCGTACAGTTCTCGTCATATACTTCCAAATACATTTGAAGCCTCAAATTCCTGTGACGGGCCAGTTTCAAAACAAAATTTGCAAGGAATCCATGGTCCGGAGGATGCGATTTCTGGTGGTTTTTGGTACACATTAAGTCCAGCGGCGGTGAAAATGGCTTTGCTTGTTTGTCCGGAAAAAAAAAACGTGACTTTCGGATAATATTCCTTAAATCCGTAGCTGTGAACGGTCTTGGAAAGACTCTAAATCGGAAAATTTAAGGATTTTTGTAATTCTCAGGAATCTCAACCGTGTCCAAATAACGGAATAACTTGAAACAATGACATGAATAAAGAGTTGCCTTTAGCATTTCTCTAATTATGACAGTCTTTTTTGTTTTATCGTTGGGGGCCTTTTCCACGTCCCATTGTTCTTAGAGATTTTTTTTGTATTAGCATAGTTCAAAAAAAAAATGTCTGAAATAAAGAATAAAGGATTATGCACAGAATAACTAAAACTTAACAATAGTGGTGCCATATTGTGCAAACCAGCGGGGGAAAATTCACAAAAACCTAGAAATATTCTAAATTTGAAAAGCTATTAGCGTGGTTCCGCTGTGTGTGTGTAATATATATATATATGTGTGTGTGACATTTTTATGTTTATACGTTCTTTTTATTTATAGATACAAATATTTAAGTAAATGCTCTGTTTATAATAAACAGGATTAACAACATTTACCGGCCTGAATGTCCGAGAAATTTTCATAGAAAATATGCGTCCTCCGACAGGAACCGTCATATAGCCTGACGTGCTTTTTACCGATTGAGCCACAGAGGAGCGTTTCGGTTAGCAAGGTCGATTTTACTGTTTTTAAACCACAATTCTCCATGATTTTCTATCAAATATTCATATCTGCTCGATACGTACCCAAATGTAAACAAATGATGTCACACATTATGAAATGGACAAAGTCCGACAATTATTTTAAGACATTTTATAAAAAGAACGTATAAAGTGTGATGTCATTTGTTTACATTTGGAGAGTGTCTGTTTACATTTATATCTTGGTTAGCCTATGAACTTTTCATCTGACCTGTGTGTGTGTGTGTGTGTGTGTGTGTGTGTGTGTGTGTGTGTGTGTACCCAAGTATAGCGTTGGTGTATAGGGAATAAATTCCAATAACCAAAAAATACTGTTCTTAAAAGAGTGCTCAATGCAGAGTAAAGCAAAATATAATTTATTCGAAAATTCTAACATAAAAATGTTATAAAATCACTACAAAAATAGTGTCTGGTGTCTTATCAAGTGATGGTATTGGATGTAGAATAAAGGGTTTATTTATTTATTCTACATTCAACACTATCACTTGATAAGACACCAGAAGTGCTGAAACAAAATGGCTATTTTTGTAGTGATTTTATAAAATATTTATGTTAGAATTTTCGAATAAATCATATATTATTTTAATCACGTAATTCATAGTCTATAATTATCTCTAATCCTGCTTAATTTCTATCACTTGTATATCCTTCCTTGAACCGGCTTCTAATGCTCTGGATGGAGCGGCTTGGAGATAGTAGTCGTGGTTCTTGGGAGCACAGTCCTATGGGTAAGTGAAACTTGGATGAGTTCCACCACAGAATATGTGATCGAGCGGAGGAATATCGATTCTAATTAGATACCTCTTTGTTACCGAGGTCCGTTCGATGCAGTTGGAATGTCGTTTACCATATACCGTAACTGTCCAGACCAGCTATGTCTAGTTTAGACCAGCTCTGACCAGCTTGGACAAGCTATGACCAGCTAAGACCAGCTTAGAAAAGCTGCCTGAGTGAAGACACTCGGGTCCCCACGTTGAGGGATGACCTTGTGTCACAACCTGACTCAGTTTAGGAGGGGGGCTGTAAGCCAAATTCTGGAAAAAAATTCCGATTTGGGCTGAAATTCAAATTCAGGACGAAAATTATGTTCTTCAAATTACAAACCCTGCGGAACTTCAATACTGATTCCTTGAAAATGTCAAGAAATAAAGTTAATTTCCTCAATTCACAAAGTTTTTGAAATATTTTAAACTGAATTTAAAACGCTTTTTTTTTTAAATTTTATGTTTTTGTTTTATTTTAAACTCAATATAAATTAAAACGTTTTAAAATCACTGTTTTCAGTAATTTTAAAAATTGAATTGGTGACTTTTCCCTACTAATCCGTACACATCCAAATGCTGGATACTCAAACACCAAATGGACACAATATTACATTTCTTTTTAATCCCTTCATCATCTTGATTCCAAAAAGAGATTATGTATGTAGAGCAAGTTTACCCGAATCAGAGGTGGGGGTAAGACACACGGACAGACAGACAGAATTTGCAGTTTATTTATTTAGAGATATTTAGAGATATACGTTTATATATTATTACAATGATATACTTGTATAAGTAAGAGATTTTAATTTTGATATCCATTCTTGTTGTGTTTTGAACGCCTTTCGAAAATAATTTAAAGATGTTTTAAATATTTTCACGATACATCTACGATCCTCTCAAAGCACATCAGTTAAAACTCACTGCTCGATACAAATAGTTTTCTCTTCGTATTATTATTATGATTATTCACTTGTAGGAGTTTTTCACATTTTTATCTGAGAAGGTAAATATCCATTGGCATATTCTAACTGTATTCGATGTTTATAATTATGATCTGGAATATTCAGAATACGTGTCTGGCATCACCATTTTCTTCACGGTTTTTGCTGCTGTACATGTTTACCCTTATTGATTGTTTGGTATCGAATGATTCCACAGAGTTTTCCTGCCGTGGGTAAATTTATCAAACTGTCGCTTCTATTGTTGTTGCTCAATATCATCGCCATAAGAATAAAATAAAAAAAGACACAATTGGAAGAGTGGAAGTTTATATACAAATACCATTTTTATTTTCTCTCTTGATATAACTTTTTTTTTGTATTTCTTTTAATAAAACATATATTTGCAGAGAAAAATATAAATTCAGTAGATATTTATTCAGTCGATATCACTGTAGTCGTCAGATTATTATTATTATTATTCTGTTTCTTCTTGTTTCTTTCTATTGTTTAATTTCTTCTGTTTCTCTTTCTTTTTCTCCTTTCGTTTCTTCTTCTTGTTTCTTTTTCTTCTTGTTTCTTTTTCTTTTCTTTATTTGCTTTCTCTTTCTTTTTTCTGTTTCTTTTTTTTTTTCGTTTTCTCTTTCTTTTTTTCGTTTTCTCTTTCTTTTTTCTTCTTCTGTTTCTTCTTGTTTCTTTTTCTTTTCTTTTCTTTCTTTCTTTTCTTTATTTACCTTCTCCTTATTTGCCTTCTCTTTCTTTTTTCTGTTTCTTTTTCCGTTTTCTCTTTCTTTTTTTCGTTTTCTCTTTCTTTTTTTCGTTTTCTCTTTTTTTTCGTTTTCTCTTCCTTTTTTACTTCTGTTTCTTCTTGTTTCTTTTTCTTTCTTTTCTTTATTTACGTTCTCTTTATTCGCCTTCTCTTTCTTTTTTCTGTTTCTTTTTTTCTTTCTTTTTTTCTGTTTTTTTCGTTTTCTCTTTCTTTTTTTCTTCTGTTTCTTTTTCTTCTTGTTTCTTTATCTTTTCTTTCTTTCTTTTCTTTATTCGCCTTCTCTTTATTCACCTTCTCTTTCTTTTTTCTGTTTCTTTTTTTCGTTTTCTGTTTCTTTTTTCGTTTTCTCTTTCTTTTTTTCTTCTTCTTCTTTTCTTTTTTTTTTCTTTTCTTTTCTTTTCTTTTTTCTTTATTCGGCTTCTCTTTATTCCTTCTTCTTTCTTTTTTCTGTTTCTTTTTTCGTTTTCTCTTTCTTTTTTTCTTCTGTTTCTTCTTCTGTTTCTTTTTCTTTTCTTTATCTTTTCTTTCTTTCTTTTCTTTATTCGGCTTCTCTTTATTCACCTTCTCTTTCTTTTTTCTGTTTCTTTTTTTCGTTTTCTCTTTCTTTTTTTCTTCTGTTTCTTCTTCTGTTTCTTTTTCTTCTTGTTTCTTTATCTTTTCTTTCTTTCTTTTCTTTATTCGGCTTCTCTTTATTCACCTTCTCTTTCTTTTTTCTGTTTCTTTTTTTCGTTTTCTCTTTCTTTTTTTCTTCTGTTTCTTCTTCTGTTTCTTTTTCTTCTTGTTTCTTTATCTTTTCTTTCTTTCTTTTCTTTCTTTCTTTTCTTTATTCGCCTTCTCTTTATTCGCCTTCTGTTTCTTTTTTTTCTGTTTTTTTTTTCGTTTTCTCTTTCTTTTTGACGTTTTCTGTTTTTTTTTTCGTTTTCTGTTTTTTTTCGTTTTCTATTTCTTTTTTTCTTCTGTTTCTTCTCTTTCTTTTTCTTCTTGTTTCATTTTCTTTTCTTTCTTTCTTTTCTTTATTCGCCTTCTCTTTATTCGCCTTCTATTTCTTTTTTCTGTTTCTTTTTTTCGTTTTCTGTTTCTTTTTTTTTCGTCTTCTGTTTCTTCTTGGTCGTCTTCTGTTTCTTTTTCTTTAAGTCGAAACAGTTGGCATTAATAGACTGAGGAGCGAGTGCTGCTTTCTGTTAATTTTTTTTTTTTTTTTGGTCTCCCCAAGGGAAATAGGTTTTTCAGTTCCACTGTTATCATTCTATCCAGTAATGGTGGGGGAGGGCTTCTTAAACATTTTTAAAGTAATTTTATTTTATTACTATTATTTTAATCAGTTCACCCCAAGCAAGGTGATAAAGCCACTAAGACTCAAGGTACGCCTGAGAGTGAAATAGAATAAGACTTTAGAATGAAGCAGAAAGCCAATCCTGAACAGGAAACAAGGGATAAAACATCTACTCCTGTTCAATAGATGGGAAAATGAACGTTAATGGAAAAGACTACAATTTTCTTCGTAACTTAAGTTCTTCATAATGGCTAGAGAATTGTTTTAATCAATTCCCCCAAGAAAGGTGATAAAGCAACTAAGATGCAAGCTGCCACTGAGAGTGAAAGAGAATTAGAATGCTTCAGAAGGAACCATAAATCCAATCTGAAACACGAAACCATGAGTTAAAACACTACTCCTGTTCAAAGGACCGGGGAGGCGTACGAATCGGGTGATACGTGAACCTTAAAAGAGAAAATAACTTACTGCGAAAATGTAAAGAAAGTGCGCTGATTTCCGAGTACACCTATATCCAGGATCATACGCCATATCGTCTTTCTTAAAGTCCCTGCTATTAAAATTTAGGATATTTCACATTACTATAAACGTTATTTTTTATTTGCCATATTTCTGATTTATTTCTAAGTTTTGAGTTTTTTTATCAATTCACCCCATGCAAGACGATAATGTCACTAAAACGTAAACAGTGATTGTGAGTAAAAGATAATGAGAAGACTTAATCCTAAACAAGAAACAAACGATAAACCTCTACACCTGTTCGAAAGACCGAAGTGGAACGTGAACCGGACGATAGGCGAGCCTTATTTTCTCTTCGCGTTATATGTGGCGTTCATTTTAGTTGTTACTGCTGTTAAAAGCTCTCGAGTGATATGGTTTCTGTTATTCGGTACAATTCAATATTCTGTATCGCGAGACCCCGAGGTTCGTATAAGTACGGTCCTCACTGAGATTTATATGTTGATTGTTCAGTGATAATCCTTAACAATGAGTCGATAATATTTTTCTAAAATCCACAAATTGTTATTGTTCTTTCCGGTATTGATGGAATCTTTCTTCCGAAACATCTCGATGGGGACTAAACAGTTCCTAAACAGTTCACAGTAGTTTGAAAGTTATATCATAAATTTTCTCTTCGAAATACATGTGCCGTTCATTTTAGTTGTAGCTGCTGTTAAAAGCCTGCAAGTGATGGGGTTTCTCTTGTGATCCAGTTCATCTTTGTAGCACCAGTCCAGGAGGTTAGAAGAAATATGTTCCTCTATAAAACCTACAAGTTTCTTCCGCTCGAAGCCATTTTTGATCACAGCCCTGAGAAAAGCGGTTGTATACAGTTGACAGTTCAGATATCCCTGAACAATTTTGTCTCCATACCTAACACCCATATGATATTCTGTATCGGACGGTGATCGTTAAGAACATGACCGGAGTTCATAGGTTAATGTTTTGGTTTTGTAGTAACTTACGCTATGGTTCGAAAGTACGCCGAACAAACGCAGCCTATACTATGTTTAATTGCCTTATTCCTATAGCAAACTTGTTATAACCGCCCAGTGAGGGCACCTCAGCGTGGGGTAATGGTTAGCAAACTTGTCTTGCTGACACAGTTACGACTGAATAGTGAGTTCGATCCTCATTGGGTACCTCATACTTCCGGCTATGTGCTACATCTAAGCTCCGCTTAGCAAATCAACATAACCGACTAGCGGTAGATAATGGTAGCCATGGAAGATAAAAAGTAAGGTTGACATGATCGAGGAAATGATATTAGAATGGTTTTTGCTTTAAAATTGTAGTCGTCCTAATTAAAGACTGCTTCTTGTGGGGAATGTTGATTTAAGGCCTAAAAAGAGGGATGGGTTAAGGCTGGTCGACACTAATTATCCTATAACTAGCTAATCAAATTCACGACCCATTCATTCATTTCTATTTACGCAAAATCTCGTTCATCGCCATTCAATCCTACAAATACCACACACTCAAGAACCTACAAAACACCCCATGACCTTAAAATCCGTGCAGATAAAATTACAGATAAAAATTTGTTGATAATAAGCAATAAGCGAAAAAAAAAGCTAAAATATACAAACTAAAAATAATTGATGTTAGTAGGACCCGTCCAACCCTCAAAGAGACCCCTGTATAATGTCTTCAGTCAGAATCAAGAAACTCTCTCGCTAAGGGAGAGGGAAAGACAAAATAAATACGGACATGAAAAAAAAATAGAAACTAACCCAGTCGATCTGAAAAAAGGGGGCAAAGCGCAAACTGGGGAGGTTGGGAATCTCGGCTTGAATTATAACAAAATAGGAAGCTGGGAACAGGCCCGGAACAACACATATTCACATTAACAACGTACACAAGAAGGATCTGTCCTAACCAGGGTAGTGCTCCACAGGAAGCCGCCCTGTTGGGAATTAGGGAGACTTAAAAAAGAAAATCAAAGCTAGCCCCGTTCAAACGAACTAGGCACGCCACAGCTGAAATCTGTCGATAGTAAACGCTTTCTATCAGTTCTAATCTTCATTCTGGGTCGATGTTTCTTGTGGGGAATGTGTTGTAGAGTCGGACTCAGCGTACTTCCTGATCTTCCCTTCAACTGTGATAATGGACAGCTTCTACTTAGGAATGTAGCAAGTAGCCGCATTAAAGTAGGATTTGAGTAGTATTTGATTTAATTTCGTTTTAAGTATATTTAATAAACACTACTTTGTCTTCCTCTACCTCGTCCTCTAGGCTTTCCATAGTCTAACTCCGGCCTTCCTAATTCTCGGCTATTTTGAACAAGGATAACATCACAACAGAATGTATTAGGAATGTCAACAAGAGGCCAAAGAGATAACACGATAAAATATAATAATCCCAGCTGAAATTAAACACAAAACACAATATACAGCATATTGAAGAATGAGATTTTTCTTTTCTTAAGCGTTGATCCTAGACTTGAACAGGTCAAGATTATAGTGATCGGGGAAGCATCCTGTTGGTAGTTGATTCCACAAAGCAACGGTTCTTAGGAAGAAGCTGCTCAATGGAATTCAAAAGGAAGGGGGTTGGTTCGCTATAATGTGCGTGTCGTGACGGCTCTTAGCCGTGAAGGTTAGCACATAAGAGTAAAAGTGGCTGACCTAGGAGTAATTCTTCGCGATTTAATACATCCAGTCGTGTAACTTCACCGCCGAAAAGCATGGCATTGTTTTATAAAAAATAAAAAATTACGTGCTCTAATAGAAGCAAAACAGTTAATCTAGAAATGAGATTTAAGCATATATTGATTGTGGTTTAATAATAAAAAAAAATATTTATAAAGCGATAAGCTTACACACTAGAAAATATAGAAGTCAAGTTTTTCAGAAAACGTTGATGGGGAAAAAAATCTCCCGCCATTTTGTGTGGCTGGACGTGGTCATACGAAATGTTTCTTTATTTCACGGAAGAAAAAATGTAACCCGTTCTTCACACTTCATATTCTCGATTCAACTTGCATTTCCAATAAAACCAAAATGTTAATGTTTCGAGTTTTATCTCAAATGTCGTACCTTCAAAGCGAGAAGATCTCCAGAAAAAAACAAATTAAAAAGTATTTAATCGACGTGTCGCAAAAAAAAAAGAAAAAAAGAAATAATTGGTGTGTCTGTTTTATAACACGAGCATCGATGTTAGCTTGTGTTTGTCGGGAGTTAGGGGTTAGAGATACATAATATTCTTACCGTCTTCTCTATGGATCTCAATAAGTATATATATATATATATATATATATATATATATATATAAGGGAATATTGAAGTCAATACTTAGAGGCGACAGTCTATTTCAAGCCACCTGACGATTGGGTCTAGCAAGAAAACAGACTGTCGTCTCTAAGCGTTGACTTCAATGTTCACTTTTATATTTACACACGCTCTATCTCTGATATTAGCACTTTATCCCATAAATATAGCACACCTTAAGACTATCTTTCTATATATATATATATATATATATATATATATATATATATATAAAATGTGGGTGTATGTCTCAGACAATGCATTTTGAGAATAAGTCAAAGCGGATTACGATCTTTTCCTTGGCTGCATAGTATGTGCTTTGTAAGAGCGATGTACTGTTGTCGAATACAGAGATCTTGTGAACAAAGGCTGGAGAGCACAATCTATTCTATTTAAACCATAGCCTGGGGAGAATGATGGATTTATATATTTGTCAAGTTTTGATTTACTGAGGTTAAAATGTACCGAACTCAACTGCAATTAGTCCTCCTCGACATCTTTTTCTTTTGACTTTCCATATCGAAGACGTAATTTGAAAGAAATTGAATTCACCTGAATTTGAAATTAGCCAACTCAGATGAAGTCTAAGTGTCATTTCCTCTACCTTTCATCTCTCCCTCTATCTCTTTCTCTCTCTCTTTCTCTCTTTCTCTCTCTCTTTCTTTCTCTCTTTCTTTTTTTCTTTTTCTCGCTTTCTTTTTCTTTTACTCTTTTTCTCGCTTTCTTTTTCCTCTTTTTTCTTTTTCTCTCCTGCTTTCTTTCTTCCTCTTTCTTTTTCTCTTCTTTCTTTTCTCTTCTTTCTTTTTTCCCTTCTTTCTTTTTTCCGTTTCTGTCTTTTCCCTTTTTTCTTTTTCCCTTTTTTCCTTCTTTCTTTCTTTTTTCTCTTTCTCTCATTCTTTTTTCTCTCTTTCTTTTTCGTCTCTTCCTTTCTTTTTATCACAGTTTCGTTCTTTTTTTCTCTCTTTCTCTCTTTCTTTCTTTTTCTCTCTTTCTTTCCTTCTTTTTTTCTCTTTCTTTCTTTTTCTCTCTTTCTTTCTTTTTCTCTCTTTCTTTCTTTCTTTTCACCTTTCTTTCTTTTCTTTCATTTTCTTTTTCTTTCATTTTTTTTCTTTTTCTTTCTCTCTCTCTCTCTCTCTCTCTCTATATATATATATATATATATATATATATGTGATCAATGTATATAAATATAAATAAATATATATATATATGTATAATTATTTATATATTATATATAGGGTACTATTAGAAAGTCCCGCTCAATATCAGAGATAGAGCTAACATATAACTCACATTTTCCACAAATATATATATATATATATATATATATATATATATATATTGCATTGCAATTTCAAATCGAAATCTACTTGGCATGGGATAATTTCAACACACAAAGCAACAATATTTTGACTGTAGAATCTGGTAGATATTTTTATTATATCTTCCTCAAAACTGCAACGCTTGCACACGGCTTTGTCTTCATTCAGACCTGAAAACGCCTGTCATATAGAGGCGAAACGCGTTGCCTGGACAGTTTTTTTCCCACTCTTGTTCATTTGTTGTTCTACATCCGATTAATATATATATATATATATATATATATATATATATATATATATATATATATATGATGCATGCATATTCAATGTTAATATCCTGCTATCTGCAAAATGTTTTTTCGTAATCTCCATTGAATCGGAAGACAAGAAGGAAGTAAGGCAGGAAGGAATAAAGGAATGATGTCAGGAAGGAAGACAGACAGCCAGCCATACACGAAGAAAGGAAGAAAGACTGGCGGGAGAAAAGGTAATGCAAAAGGAAAGCAGACGATAAACCCAAAGCAGGAGAAGCTACTGTTGAATGAATGAAAAACAAACCTGAAAATGGCGAAATGGAGAAGGCTTCCTGAAAAGACCGGATTAAGAACATTTCGAAACACAAACGAGATGCAGAATAACCGGATATTTTCGTTTATTTCTTTTAAATAATTTGACGTTAATGAGAATAAATTTCACTTCTGCAGACTTGTCAGATTTTTAGCGTTCCATTTATCATTGTAGAAAATGTCTTCTTTTTTTTTTTTTTCTTATCAGACCAACAAATTGGAAGTAATGTTCAGCGAAGACTTCCGGTGAGATCTGACAAAAGCTTTTCGAACAGTTAGACAGAATACAACCATTTAGCGAGGATATCTTTTTTCTTTCCATCCAATATTTTTTTTTCAAATTAGTTTCATAAATCTTCACACTTCATGAGAATAGAACTGAAAAAAAATTGCCTATTGAAAAGGTTTTCCAAAACTTATTCGTACCCAGCAACTGCATATTTACTTTTAACAAAAGGTGTAGTAATTGAATTTCACACTGTCGGTAATTGTAGCTGAACTCACATTTTAACATATATATATATATATATATATATATATATATATATATAGTACTTGCACGTATGTAAATATGTATATTGCTCAGGTGTTATAAATACCAGTGATGTTATGAAACAAACCTATGAGAATATATTAGTGAATATACATAATATCCAAATTTATTACTACGTTTCGGCCGTTGTACGCTCTGGCCTTCTTCAGGTGGTTGGAATGTCAAACTGAACCCTTTATTTTGCTCACTGGGGTAGACTGTTCTATTTCCACGTGCCATGTTTAATGGATGTCAGTTATCAGTTATCTCCCGTTAATTCCCCTCTCCAAGTTATGTACTGCCTTAACCAGGTATTGAACTCACATTCTTTGGGTCCTGTCACTGGATCTAACCAACGGCTTTATCCACTGTGTCATGTGTCCTCAATACATACACAGATGTTCTCAAGATCTTCTTATATATAAAGTTCAAAGGGTTGTTTATTTATTTATTTTTTTTTTTGTTCACTCGAAAAACTAAAAACTCTTTAAGTTGCCTTATGCACCTCTACGTTCATTTGAAAATTACTGCGTCAGTGACATGATATTTTTCTTCCATGTGACATGTACCTTAAAGACGTGGCTCTCTACAGCTTCCTAGCCTTTGAAGTTCTTTGTCTTATTGCTATATTTTTCACACTGTTCTGTCATCACTTTACTTATTGCTTACGTTCATATCAAGTTGAAAAACCGGTTCCCGTACGATCATTGGAGTCAAGCAACATCGAGTTTGGTCAGTACATATATGGGTGACCGCTCGGGAATACCAGGTGCTATAATCATGGATGTTCGGGGGGGGTGTTATTTTTCATCCGAAAGCCGAGTTCCAATTCTATTTGGGTTACTTATATTCACGTATGCACAAATGTCCATAGAAAAGTCATGAATGGCCCTCTTCTCCCCCACCTAAGGGATAATAAGTAAGACCTGTATCACTAAATCATTATCACCACCACCAAAAAAATTCTTACAATATTTTACAGCTTTAAATAACCTGAAAATGATTAAGTCGTAGAAAACGAATGAATCACTTAAACCCGTTCGGTAGCCAACCTAACGAGTTTGTTTAAGTGGTTGATTCTTTCACTCGATGCCTTCTGTATATCTTGTGAGTGTCCAATTTTCTAAGCCCACTTTCCGTTTCTCCCACCCTTGTTTTTTTGTAAATTACAAGTGTCCTTTTTTCACCATTATCCATAAAACTTTCTCATCATTCATATATTTCGAATTTTGGCATTATCAGCATCCATGTTTTATAACACCATCACTATTGCTTCAAATCTGATCTTCATCTGTGACAGTAGTCCTGGATATGACGATAAACTACATCCGGCAGCAAGGCTCCTGATCGGAACTTGGAGGTTTTGAAGAACGTGGAACCACCATTTAATTACTGTTTTTCCTAGGTCCACCTTGACCTGGGGTGGTAGCACCCCATACCCCAGCCATGGGAAAATAGTGAACGGACTAAAAAAAAAAAAAATAGTAAAATTTCAAAATACATTTTTACAGTAAATTTACCTACAACACATTAGTTATAAACATTTACCAACAATACATTTTTACAGTAAATTTACCAACAATACATTAGTTATAAACATCTACCAACAATACATTAGTTACATTTTACTATATACAAAATATATATCTAAAATAAAACAAAAACACGTTTAGCCAGAAAGTACAAAATGTCTGTTGAAGGCATAAAATTTCGTTCAAAATGTGCGAAGCATGAACCATAAAATTGTTTACAAAAGATTTCCGCATTAAATAACCCATAGTTTGATATGGCGTTAAACTAAATCAACCAACATTCATCTGTGAAAAGATTTTTGGAGACTTCCCTGTCATATACAAAAACTTTTTTTAAATCGCAATTCAGCGGTATTTTTCTTCGTTTTTAATGAAATTTTCCTGTTTCTTAATACTTTGTTTAGCGTTCAGAAGGCATCTTTAGCTATTCTAATGGGGCTTCAGTTTTCCGGCATTCTACAAAAACTATTTATTTTATTTCTATGCCTCTGAATGAGATAATATATGACACACGGCCTGTTTATTATGTGCCCTAACCCAAACTTGCCTATGGGGGGGGATACAAACAAAGAGAGGTTGACTCTTTCTCTCGTCCCCTTTCAATGCAGAAAGAGTACAGCATGAGATAATAGGCTCCTCCTGAAAGCCAAGCATATTGGTAGACGTGCAAGAAATTTGGTTTCATGACCTCCAAGAGTGGTAATTAGAATGCCCCTGAATAAACTCTTTCTTTCTGTGATGACTTCTTTTAAATTGATAGAATAGCACACTTGATTTGTCAGGGATTTCATAGATTAAAACGAAATACACGTTAGATTCCTGCCGAGTGGCACATTTTCTTTAGTAAGGGTTTCGATTCCTGGGCCTGGTGAAGTTAATTTTACTGTTAAAAAATAGATGCCTACTTACATACATAAACACGAACATGAAGGTGGCCATAAGAATCGGCATCATAATGACTGTCGGTCTCACGACTCATACCTTCAGATGATCAGGATTTGGTCTGGAGATCACAATGAGGCGCGAAACCGGCAGCAGTTAACGCTGTATTGTTCATCTACTCACGCTGTATTTATCTGAAGACGCTCTATATTCGATACGGACTATTCTTTGTCTTGAAATGTAGCAAATTATAGATAGCCGCCATTTTTCCCGAAGATAGATCAATTAAATGGCGTATCATCAACTAACACAAGAAATGCAAAAAACTTTTTTTAATAACATAAAACGCTACCACATATACAAAGAAAGGAAGGAATAAGAAAGAAAGAAAGAAAGAAAGAAAGAAAGAAAGAAAGAAGAAATAAGAAAGAAAGAAGGAAGGAATAAGAAAAGATTGAAAAAAAGGAATAAGAAAAACAAAAAAAGTCAAGGAATAAGAAAAGAAAAGGATGAAGGAAGGAAGAAAAATATAAAAGAAGGAAGGAATAAGAAAGAAAGTAAAGAAAGAAGGAATAAGAAAGAAAGAAAGAAGGAAGAAGAAAAGGAAGGAATAAGAAAGAAAGAAAGAAAGAAGGAAGGAAGGAATAAGAAAGAAGGAAGGAAGGAATAAGAAAGAAGGAAGGAATAAGAAAGAAAGAAGGAAGGAATAAGAAAGAAAGAAGGAAGGAAGGAATAAGAAAGAAAGAAAGAAGGAAGGAATAAGAAGGAAGGAATAAGAAAGAAAGAAGGAAGGAAGGAATAAGAAAGAAAGAAAGAAGGAAGGAAAAAATTTAAAGAAAGAAGGAATAAGAAGGAAGGAATAAGAAAGAAAGAAAGAAAGAAGGAAGGAATAAGAAAGAAATAAGGAAGGAATAAGAAAGAAAGAAAGAAGGAAAGAATAAGAAAGAAAGAAAGAAAGAAGAAGAAAGTAGGGAGGGAGGAAGGAAAGAAGGAAGGAAGGAATAAGAAAGGAGGGAGGAAGGAAAGAAGAAGGGAATGAATAAGGAAGAAGACGGAATGAAAGAAAAAAAAATGAAGGAAGAAATGGAATGAATATAAAAAAGAAATTTTCTAATTGAAAAACTATTTTCTCTGGTTATTATATATATATATATATATATATTTCGTCATTACCTGGGTTTAATGTATGCATTTTTTGTTGATACGTATATATATATATATATATATATATATATATATATATATATATATATATATATAGAACAGATGTTTATACATTCTTTATTTGGTACTGTCAGAGGACGAATATTTTCTATGAAAATTTCTCCGGACATTCAGGCCAGTAAATTTTGCTTAATACTGTTTATTATAAACAGGCATTTACTTAAATATTTGTATCTATATAAAGAATGTATAAACATAAAAATGTCTTAAATAAGGTCATAATATGTCATAATTCATTATGATATATATATATATATATATATATATATATATATATATATATATATATATATATTCAAGTATAGGATTGGTGTATACAGAATAAATTCCAATAATCAATTACTATTCTAAATTTTGCTCAATACTTAGTAGAGCAAATATAATTATTTATTCGAAAATTATAAATATGTTATAAAATACTACAAAAATAGACATTTCGTTTCAACACTTTGGTGTCTTATCAAATGATGATGTTGAATATAGAATTATATAATTAAGTTTATATTTCTTATATTGGATGGCTATTTTGCAGGATTTTATAACATATATATTGTTTTAATTTTTTTTTTTTTATATATAAAAAAACCCATGCAAGGCGGAGTTGGAGCCAGCAATAGGAGTTGGATAGAGCAAATAGGATGAAGAGAAGGATAGGGGATAGATCAAAGCATCTGGAGACGTCGATTGACATTACATTTTGAATAGATGGAATTATAGCTATCAGGGAAACAGGAAGAGGGGAGGGAGTTCCACAGGTGAGAGGTGCGAGACATGAAGCTATTGGAGTAGAAGAGACGGTTACAGTTTAATCATTTAACATTTTAATTAACATTTACAATTCAGAAGTTTGTGAGTAGCTCACAAACTTTTTATAATAATTTATAATTTATGTGATCTTTATAGTTGTGAAAATCACTAAATTTGTTTCATTTTTCTTCTTCTATGAAGGAATGAGAGACAGAGGAAGGCAGCCAGAGTATAACCTTCCCCTAACGAACGTATGTAAAATGGTTGTTAGAATAGCGATTAGGAAATAGAGCAAACAGAGAAACTTTAATAAGGGCTACAAAAGGACGGAAGTTGTGGAGAGTTATGATCACTAACATCATTATTATGACCATTTACGCTGCTTTCATCTGTTTCTTCTTGCCTTCAATCTGTCCTTTGAGGACAAATTTTCCAAGCCCTCTTTCTCCATTATGTGCCCTAGAAACAATTGTCTCTTTCTGAGGTTACGTATATCCTTTTTCTTTTCATTTTCTCTAAAATTTAGTCATTGCTCATATTTTCAGTCCATTGTCTTCTCTGCATCCTTCTGTAGAAGTACATTTTTGTTGCCTTAAGTCTCTCCTCTATCTCTGATTGTCCATCATTCACTGCCAAATAAGAAGACAAATACAACACAACGACTCAGTACTTTTTTCTTTGTTTCTAATGACATTTTCCAGTTCCTTAAAGCCTTGGGTTAACTTTTGCAAAGGATCTTTTACTATATCAACGCGCCTCCAGATTTCAGTGTAACATTTGAAAGGTCCGCTGTTAAAACATTTCCTAGATATTTAAATTTTTGTACTTGGTATCTCCAATTTGTAATTCGAACGTGTTTGTTTTTTTTTCATTTTGCTGACAACAAATACATTGTCTTTTTCCAGTTGTTTCATAGTCACCTCTTCTCGTTTTTCCTTCGTAAAAATAAAGTAAATTTTTGCAACCACTCGAGTCCGGGGATGCCAATCTACTTGTTTTGGCTAGTTAATCATCATTTCAAGCACATTTGAGCTTGTTTCCACCCAATGAGCCCACCAGTGGTTTATACTGCAACTACGCTGACCGGACCTTTAGTTAAAGTTTCTGGCAGAGAGCGCGTTTCTATCGTGATAAACAGTCTGAAAAAGGCTAGCACACTCAAACCCTCGGCCACGATGACTTGTGACTTTAAAAGAAGGACGGCTCCAAAGGGTTTCATCTATCCGATTTCACCCACAAGGTTTGGGACAACCCGTTTTCAGCCACTTTTTAAAGTTGCTGTAACGCTGATATCAACTCCTCCAGACTGATGACATTAAGAAGTACCTTCCTGACAAATCGACCATGGTGAGATACGAACCCGGGTCAAACCACCGTGCCACAATGCAATATAAACGACCTGCGGTGTTCGAGTCTTGATAAAAAAAAGGACAACCATAATTAGAACTCCAGAATGCTGATTTTCCAACGCAGACAGACATTCCTGAACAAGAATGAAGAGCATAATCTTTCTGCTACAATTTTGGAACTTGTCCTGCCCTAAGCAAGCTTTGTAAATATGCATAAGAAAGGAGGCAAGTGACGTATTTGAAAACGCAACAAGTTTCCACATCTTACTCCAGTAGCTGCGGACGGAATAAAAGTAAACAAAAAAGGCAATCAAAATAGTGACTTAGCCGACAGAAAAAATAAAATAAAAAAAACACGATTGTTGTTGGAAGCCTTTTCTTATTTTGGTGTCAGTGTTGCTAGTGCTGAATGCTTATTGCCGACGACTACTTGGTATTTCAGACCAAGGGGAACAGAGTACTTTCTCTGATTTAATCGATACTATCAGAGTGAAACTACAACGTGTGTACTGTTCACCGCCTCTTGCCATTACAAGCCAAAGAGGCCAAGTCTGGTGTCTATATTTAAACACGAACGCGTCAAAGGCCAATTATTGTTATTTAGACATTTTGCAACAAGAATTCATGCATAGTAAATGTTGTGTATTGCTACTGTACACTACTTTACAATTTCTCCTAATAAGACACACACACACGTTGTAGGACGGTCACACACACACACACACAATTCATATATATATATATATATATATATATATGTGTGTGTGTGTGTGTACATTTTGTGTGTTTATTATTTTATTTCCACACAGGCGCAAACACCAATTTTACGCATCTAGATCTATCTATCTATCTATCTATCTATCTATCTATCTATCTATCTATCCTATCTATCATTCATATATCTATCTATCTATCTATCTATCTATCTATCTATCTATCATAGCCTGTTTGTATCTCTTAGTAACTAGGACTACTTATACATTAGGTCATCTTTTTATAACGCAAGTCTAAGTTTTCACAAGAAAATTGATATAAAAGAATTGAGATTGATAAAACTATCAGACTATATTTTTGCTTATTTAATACACTTTATACGCTCTGTGAGATTATTTAAATGAGAAATGCGCATCATATTTTAAAAATTTTGTTTATATTACTTTGCTGAATTATCCTTAAATTTTATTTAGATATAGAAATGATTATCTATCTATCTATCTTTGTCATCTGGATTAACAATTCTGGAGCTCTTTCTCTCTCTCTGTATATATATATATATATATATATATATATATATATATATATATACTTGTGAATACCAGGTACTTGAGAATATGCTGATGGTTTAATCTAAATAATGGATTTGGAATGGAGAAAGGAGAGTGAAGTTCCAATTGTAGTTGGTAAAAGGTTAGCGGAATTTACAGAACAAAATCATTGGGATGTATTAATCCACACACACACACACACACAGGTTAATTAGTAAAACTTGTATATATAAATATATATATATATATATATATATAAATTCTTATAACATAAGATATAATATAAGAGGAGAGAAGAAGAATAAAGGAAATGAAAGCTGTAAAAACAAATGTTTATACGAAATTTTTTAAAATACAATAATTCACTAAATTTATTTAAGCACATTTTACTGAATAATGTATGAGTGACATGGATCTCAAAATTAGGGAGGAAGTGAAATTAAGATGACAGAATAGATAGTTTGGTTTGGTTGCTTTTTTGCCAGTTTCAATTTAGGTCATTTAATGCCGAAATCTAAATACGAAAATTCAAACATAATTGAAAAGAGAATTTTATTTAAGGCAGAATTTATGAAATCAAGGAATTTTTTTTCCTATGAGGGATTATTATTTTTAATTAATTTCATTTCTCTTAATGGCTATTGTTTTTAAAAAAAGAATAATTAAAATTGCAGGTTTGAATAAATTTAATTAATTTAAAATTTTCTTTGATCATAAAAATTGACAATGGGAATAATAAAGAAAATTTAAATGAAATTTTTTGATTTATTATATTGTTTATTTGAAATATTTGGCAATTATTCTTTAATTACCAATTAATTCAAATCTTTATAAAATGGTAAATAAATTTTCTTTATTGTTGATTCAAATATTTAAATAATTAAATCTTTATAAATTGTTAAATAAAAATTGTTTTCATATTTCATTAATTGGTTAATGATAAAGAATTGCATTACACTAGTTTCAATTCTATTAATTAAATGAATATATTGTAAATGGAAAATTATTCTTTTAAATGACAATAGAATAAATAAATAGTGTTTAATTTTTTTTGATTTTTAAATCCTCAAGGACAAAAAGAGTGTATAAATTAACATTCATCATGTAATGAAGCTTTACAATAATCCTAATCATTTTTTTTAAAAAACAATAAAAATTGTCGATTTGAGACTTTTAAAATAATAGCTTTTGTCAACAAAAAAACCAGTCATTTTCTTTGCTTGCTGCTTGAAAGGTCCATAAATGCAAAATTACATATTTTATGATAAAATTTTAACTAACTATGGGTTTTTTTTTATATCAAATAATCTTATAAATTCTAATGAGGACTAAAAATTCATTCTCAAACAAAGTAAAATTAATCATAGCATGTTGTTTTGTTTTAATGTTTTTTGACAATGTATGCCATGTTTTTAATTTTAGTGGAAAAGAAATTCCTGTCTAACAAAATCAAACCCTTGGCCATATTAGTATAAAATGTATTATTGGTCATTTTGTTATGTGGCAAAAGACCATCCTGGAAATTAATTCTGCTATAAACTTATATATTTTTGGTCATTTTATTTTAAAAAGTATATTAAAAATGATGATTTTGATTTCAAAAATGTGGATTGATTTTTGATATGATAAATATAATTTTACGATAAAAATATACTGTTAGATATTTTTATAAAAAAGGTATTTTGATAATTTGACTAATCTTTTTATTATTGTTAAATTTTTTTAAAAATATATTTTGGTGATACTATGATGTATTGCCAATTTTATAGTGTTTTGATTATCGTTTAAGGGATTTAGTAAATGATGATGAACCCAAGCGGACCAATTGTTGAAACAGGCTGATTTAAAAAAAAAACAGAAATCAAATGTATTATTGCTTGTTAAATACCTTGATTGTTGACCAAGGACATTTTTTGAGACGTAAGCAATTTGGAAGATAGATGGGATTTTGGCCAAAGTTTTTACATGATTAGTTTAAAGTATGATGTTTTATGATGATTTGACAAATTTGAGATATGATATTGAAAACAAAATATGTTTGAATGGAAGGGATTGAAAAACAATGATGATGATTGGAAAATAATACTAGCTAAAAAAAAGGTATGAATGGATGATGAAAACAGGAGATAATCAAAAATTTGCGATTATTGATGACAGATTATATTTTAATCTGGATTTGATGATGATGATGATTATGATTATGATGATGATGATGATGATAAAAATATAATATAAGGATTTGGGATGATGATGATGAAAATTAAATAAAGGGATTGATTATGATGATTTATTACATTAATCAGGGGACATTGATGAAAATTTGGTTTTGAAAAATCAAAGGATTTTTTGATGATGATGATGAATGACTAATCAAAGATTCCGATGATGATGATCCATTTAATCAAAATTTTTGATGATGATGATTCATGAAAATAATTAATTTTTTTGATGATTTTTGCATGATATGATTAAATCAATAAATTGATGATGAATATAATCAAAATTATTGATTTTTGATTAATTAAGGGATTGATAAATATTTTGACTAATTTCTATTGATGATGATGAAAATTATTCACAAATTTATTGAAAAAAATTAAAGGGATTGATTATGATGATGATATAAAATATTATATATATATGATTAATCAAGGGATTGATGATTATGATTTAAATCATTTATTGATCCCAAAACCAATGTTAACATTAAACTAATATTTTTAAAACAGACTTGGGAAATTTAAAAGCATTTATTCAAAATGTGAATTTAAAGCCGAAAATTAAAACTATCTGTTTTGCCAACATGCACTTTATTATTATTTTAAATAGTTCAGTTTTTTTTTTAATATTTGTTTGGCTCAAAGATATTAAAAGCCAATAAAATTGTTAAAATCTCCACACATCTAAATGAAATAAACACATTTTATTCATATGATGATAGAAATTAAATAAGAATTATTTCTGTGAATATAGTAGTGAGGAATGGTCCCATTTATTTTGATGGCAGAAAAAGACACACTGAAAAGGGTAAATATTAGGGATTAAACTGGGACTATTTGGAAATAAAATTATCTATGTATTAATTGTTAAGATATTTCTTTAACTGCTTTTTGCATAATGAGCTCCCATCTTTGAAATAAAGATTCTTCATTTTTAAGTCTTTGTTGAAAAATATTTCCAACATCATTTATTGCTAACAAGTCAAAAAAATAAACCAAAAAAACAAAGGATAAAAAAAAAAAATAAAGGCAAAAAAATTGACTGAAATTAAAAAAAAAAGGAAATGCCTAGAGAAAATAAAAAAAAGGCAAAAGATCACATCAAAAAAAAAAAAAAGATAAGGAGAAAAATAAAAAAACATTAATATTTGACCAAAAAATAATGATCTATGTTTTCTTTGAAATAAATTAAATAATTGAATGAAAGTTTTTTCAAAATTTTTTTTTTTTCCTTTATTATGAAAAAAGAAAAAAAAAAAAAAAAAAAAAAAAAAATTATAAAAATAAAACAAACTTTATATAAATTATTATGCACAAATCGGTCTTGGCTTTTTGTTCAATATACATTTAATACATATAAATAAAAGACAAGAATACATAAAACAACATGTCAAATAACTAAAAAAATCTGGATAAAATTAGTGTCTTTTGAAAAAATCTCATCAAACATTATTTTTAATAAAATGTAATTAAAACAGAACACATGTAAATACTTTGACTTTTTTTGTTTTTTAGATTAAAAACTCAAAAAAAAAAAGAAAAAAAAAAAAAGGACATTTTTAATCTCAACTATAGAAGGCAAGGCAAGAAAAAAAAAGCTACATGACATTATCAGAGCCATCATGTTTTAAGAATTTTTATTTTTCTAGGTTAAAATTTACATCATTCTATAGATGTTGTAATTATCCAATTTAAGACAATACTTGAAAAGTGAAATTAAAAGGAAAGGAATTTTGATGTAGATTATAGTATATTAAAATAAAATATATACAAAATAAC